CTAAATAACTAATTAGTAACCAATTATTCCATGTGGCATTTTTTTAGGCTGTCACTTGGCTTAAGGAGAGGGCTTTTTCCTCTCCTTTTAATAATATATAGATTTTTTTTGGCTGCCACTTGGCTTAATGAGAGGGCTTTTTCCTCTGCTTTTAATAATATATAGATAAAGTAACCAATATATATATATATATATATATATATATGTTAGTTTTTTATTTTATTTTATTATTTGCGTTTTTTATATGTATATTATATATAAATAGATTTTTCATTTTTTTTATTTTAAAATAATTTCGAAACTCCAATTTGAAACTACTCCCCAATTTGAATTGGTAATATTTTTCATTTTTTTATTTGAAAATAATTTTAAAACTCCAATTTGAAACTACTCCCCAATTTGAATTGGTAATTCATTTTTTTTTTAATTTCGTTCTTTATTTTAAAATTATTTAAAAACTCAAACTTGAAACTACTCCCACCCAATTTGAATGTGTAGTTATTTTTTATATATTTATTATTTGTTGTTTTTTTATTATATTTAATTATAAGATATCTATATTTATGAAATCCAGATAAAGTAACCTTATATATATATATATATATATATAATTTTATTTTATTATTTTCATTTTTTATATGTATATTTTATATAAATAGATTTTTCATTTTTTTATTTTAAAATAATTCCGAAACTCCAATTTGAAACTACTCCCCAATTTGAATTGGTAATATTTTTCATTATTTTATTTGAAAATTATTTAAAAACTCAAACTTGAAACTACTCCCACCCAATTTGAATGAGTAGTTATTTTTTATGTATTTAATTTTGGTTTTTTTAATTATATTTAATTATATATCTATATTTATTAATCCAAATAAAGTAACCAATTAATATATATGGTAGTTTTTTATTGTATTTTATTATTAATTTAGTTTTTTATATGTATTTAAATTCAAAAATAAGTAACCAATAACTAATTATAAACTAAATAACTAATTAGTAACCAATTATGCCTTGTGGCATTTTTTTAGGCTGCCACTTGGCTTAAGGAGAGGGTTTTTTCCTCTCCTTTTAATAATATATAGATTTTCCTCTAAGTGAGAAGCCAACCCTTCATTCATTCTACGGTAGCTGCAAAATGTCAAAAATATGCAATCAAGATTGCGTTTTAGTTAGAACAATGTTGAGTAGATGTTATGAATGATTCTACGAGTTTGGGTAATTATTATGATTTTTGTTTTGTCATTAGAGAATATGAAGTGGGAAAAGGATTAATTGAAAGCATAGAAGATGCGCATCTCAAATCTTAGGTAATGACAGTCTGCTAACATGCTCTTTGTTCATCCTTAACTCCAATATTTTTGTGCAGCTTAAGATTATCCTATTCGACAATCTCCGTATCTATGCCATGCTAACCCAATTGAAGCGTTATGGTCATAATTCTGTAACATATTCTTCTACTCTATCCACTATTCTAAGCTACTATTACTTTGATAACAATGACTGCGAGTTTCGCTAACCTGCTACAGCCAACTTCTCAGTTCTCTCTTCATGATTTGCCCTTCAAGTTCTCCATATTTTAATACTACTTCAGATTCATAATTGCATATTTGTACCAAATAGCTATGTGAGGGCATTTTACTTGACAAGTGGATTGATTGTGGATCGCAATTGTTAATATCTCAATTCAAGGAAAGGTTAATCTTTTTACATAGTGCGAAGAAAGGGAGGGGAAAAGAGGTGGTTTTCAGAGAGTAAATCGTCTAAAAAATGAGAACAAAAATGTCTAGTGTTTTTGATGTGTTAAGTACCTTGGGTCTATTATTCAGGGGATGGGGATATTGATGAAGATGTCACACATCGTATTGGGGTGGGATGGATGAAATGGAGACTTGCTTCCGGTGTTTTGTGTGACAAGAAGGTGCCACCGAAACTTAAGGGCAAGTTCTACACAAACCAACGATGTTGTATGGGGCTGAGTGTTGGCAAGTTAAGATCGCTCATGTCTAGAAGATGAAGGTAGCAAAGATGAGGATGTTGAGATGGATGTGCGGCATACCAGATTAGATAGGATCAGAAATGAGGTTATTCGCGACAAGGTGGGTACGGCCCCTATTGAGGACAAGATGCGGGAAGCGCGGCTTAGGTGGTTTGGTCATGTGAGGACGAGGAGCATAGACGCCTCGGTGAGGTGTGAGAGGTTGACATTGGAGGGTCTGCAGAGAGGTAAATGTAGGCCAAAGAAGAGGTGGAGAGAGGTGATTAGGCAAGACATGGCGCAACTTCAGCTGGCCGAGGACATAACCCTTGATAGGAAGGTATGGAGGTCAAGGATTAGGGTAGTAGAGTAGGTAGTCTAGAGTGTTCTTAACAGTAGTATTGGGACGCAGTCTCACTTTCTGTTGGTAGTAGATTTTTATGACTAACCATTGTTTTCTTTCATTGTTAATCACCTTCCTATCTTGTTTTTGTTCTGCTTTTATATGGCTTTTGGCACTGTACCTTCTTGTCTATATTACCATTAATGTGGTACTTATGCTTTCCTGAGCCGAGGGTCTATTGGAAACAACCTCTCTGTCCTCACAAGATAGGGATAAGGTCTGCCTACACACTATCCTTCCCGAACCCACAATGTGGGATAATCTTGGGCATGTTGTTGTAATAAATAGGAATAGCTATTTTGCATATTCACTGCTTACGGCTACTTTATTGGTAAGAGATAATACGAGAAAAAGAGGATCAGAAGTAGCACATCATTTGGTACCGTGAAATAATTGTGGATTCTCATCCAATAAATGGTGTCTATGAGCCAAATCATCAAAAACATTGTCTTGAAAGCAATATACCTGGTTGAAATGCATACTTTAAAAAGTACATCTCCAAGGACTTCAAGCCTAAAGCATTTTGAAGCAAGCATACACAAGCCACTGTACAAAAGGTTCTAGGATCCATTTCCACTCCTAACGACGTTAATAGCTGAAAATATATAGCTAGGACTTTTGACATACATAACTTAGGAGGACCTTATAATATAGACAATACATTCTTCAGCAAAACAGCGGAACACACGAGGACGTAGGGGATTTCTGCGACTGAGGTTAGATCACCTGTGAAAGACCCTCAACAAAAGCAAAAGAAGAAAACCATGCAATTTAGCAAATAGGACTATAAGATTCTAAAGAGTAGTGCTACCATGCAATATTGCCTTTTCTCTCTCTCAAGCTTCTTCCTCTCCTGTAGTCTATCTCCGCATCAGAGCTTGATAAACCAGGGTCATATTTCCGACTGAGTCTTAAAGTTCCCATTTTGGAGAAGATGCCTTCATCGTCACTCATAGCATGCTTAGCAGGTTCAACTTGCTTAAAAACATCTACAGATTGCTTTGGTGACATATGATCTGTGGATGTAGAAGACAGAAGAAGAAGTCAGTCCAAGTCTTTAACAATATCCAGATCATACGGAATTGTTTAAAGATCCCGGAATATGTAATGGTTAATGTAGAACGGCCAAGCTTTTGATTGCAATAGTAATAAGCATATAATTACTTAGTAGTGTTCCATGAATATTTTTAAACTGAATTTGGAAACTGTTAAAGTGTAAACATTATAAATACTAGCATGAAATAAAAAGAACTTGTACTACTATTAATGGCAGAGAAACCAGAAGAAACATAAATCTTGAAATCTCATGATGAAGGTCAGAAATAAGAGAGAAAATCCATTTGACCATATCTTCATACCAACTGTTTCTATTTCAAACTAGGAAGGGAGTAAAAGATCGTGCACCTTTAACGCAATTGCCTGCTCCTTCGAAATGATTTATCCCTGATTTGCAGTGCTGAGGAGATGCCATATTAGAGATATTCCCTCCTTTTGTTCCCTCAGCTGTTGACATAGTAAAAGGGATCATGCTAAATGGATCATCTAATGCAACATCAGAAATCTCCACATACTGTGTTGTAGTAACAATCTCATCAGCACTGAATCCAAACGATGCTCTGTAAGCTTCTACTTCCTCTGCATCTTGTTTACAGGGTTTGTTCTGCCTACTCTGGTGGCCATTCCCGTTATTTGAATAAGCATCAGATTCTTTGGAAACGCTCAGCCTTCCACCAGAATGAGGAAATAAAGAATGGTCGATGTAAAATTGGGCAAATGTAGCTGGACAGAAGAAATTTGAATCTTGAGACAACTTTGAGGTGCTTGAATCAGGGCCTGGATGCTTGGCCTCGGATGAAGGAATAGAAGGATCCAACTGAGGAAGTTCCCTTTCAGCATAAGACGATGACAGGCAATCACCTGACACCCTTGAAACAGGGGATCTGAGAGTACTAGCAGGACTTCCTGGATAGAGAGAGTAGGTAGCTTGAAGATCATTAGCACCAATGTAGTTGGTCTTGTCTGTGGCTTTAACATTCACTGAAGAGGAGAGGAACCGAGCGAAAGGCACATCTGGGGAAGAGGGGGTAGTCAGGTGGGCCAACTCAGGCGGAGGTGTGAAAGGAGCAGTAGATGGCTCAGTGGTGAAGTTTGAGAATACAGGAGGGGATACCAACTGTGTCTCATGAGCATATGGACCAGTAGCAAACATAGCATTTGAAGGACCACCTGGCGAATTACTAGATAAAAAACAGCTTGGTGATTGAGCTGTTGAAGGGAGCGCTGAATTCGAAAAGGATGCTGGTGACGATGGTGGAGCTAAAAGAGCTGCAGTCTGATTATTCAACCCACCAGCTTGGGGTACATTCTGCTGATTTGGTAGTGAATTGGCCTCGGGAATACGAGATGAAGGTACTATACGCTTTCCACCTTTTTGTCTTCCGAAACAAGACAATCCTCCCAAACATCCTCCCCATCGTTTACGCTGTCAAAGATTAAAGCATTAGCAGTTGGGATCTAATCTAACATATTAACGGAAAAAAAGAAGGGAAGATGCCGTTTGAAAGGTGCTTAGCTAGTTTCATGCAATATCTGGAAAAAAGCATTCACTGTGAGAGGCTGTCTAAGTGGTACACGCAAAATCCAAGAACAGTAAAGAAAGATCATAAACACAGAATTCAGACCGAAGTGCAGAAATCATAAACAGCGAAAGTGATAATTCAGATTCTCTGATGGTATCTTATATCATAATGAAAAAACACTTATTCTTTCCATCACCAGTCCATTTGACTCATGTATCAGCTGCATAATCCTTTTCATACATCTAAAAGATACTATGGTCCACATACAGTTAAATTTCCATTACCAGCTGCCAGAGCAAATGCCACATGAGTAGCAAAGAGGCAAACCCAACATAGCTTATGAAGTAGGACAATTTTTCTTTGGAAAAATCACATTTACACCAAATAAACAAAAAAATAAAACTTTGTTTTGGCCTATCATTATCCTTGCAGCTCTATGCCTAAGAGAATTATTTTTGAGTTTAAGTTCTATACACTAACAGTGTAAAAATAGTTAATACAACCAGCTTACTTAAAAGGTAAATTATATACACCATCAGTGTAGGGAATTTTTTACATTATCAGGTTACCATAAAGATATTTACAGGTAACCCTCCTTAAAATGTGGGATTTGTAATCATGAAATAAGGCCGATTACTTGTAAAACAGACCTTATGATTTAAAAATCCTTACACTGGCGGTGTATATAACTTGAACTCTCGCAAGTAACTCTATTTAATAGTGATAACTAATAATAAACGGTAAGTAACCTGCTATAACAGGTTAAATTACACCGATAGTATAATTTTTTTTACTTTAATACATTGTCAGTCAGTGCATATAACTTAAATCCGTTTTTTATAAGTGAGAATAACTGCATTAATCACAGAGGAAAAGAGATCTATCACTGAGCAGAGCTACTATTAACTAGATAAATGCCATCCCAATTTGCTCCATTTCACCAAAAAAGTCAGATCTGCTTGGGAAAGTGATTCTAGCACACAATCTAAGTACTACAATAAGCCATAATAGATGCACAAATTTTAATCCACACACACATACACTAACACATATACAGAGAGAAAGTAGATCTGGAAAATGAGAGTACCCGAGAAGGAAGTGGCGGTCCTTGCTGCTGCGGAAATCTATTCTGCTCTGACCCCATTATATCTATTTAATTTTTTTTTTTTTGCTTTGTTTTACTTTCTAACTTCACAATTTCAGCAAATTATACTTTGCTACACAACAATCTTTCTCCCTCCTTTCTGCTCTTTTTCCTTCACACACACACACACTAACACATATACAGTGGAGTACTCAAAATGTAGTTATGTACAAATTTGTATATCAACCAACGACGCACAAAAAAATGCTTGAACAGAAGCTGACAATTCACAGATTTGGTAATATAAATTGCAAAGAAAATGCTCAAATAGATAAATACTACTTAGTATATGTACTAATACTATATTCTATGTGACAGAGAGAGAGAGAGGGGGTGGGGGTTGGTCTATTCTCTTCTTCCCAGTGGAGAGAGAGAGAGTTAATCAAAAGACAAGGAAAGCACAAATAAAGCCAAATTGTGTGTGTGTGTGAAAGTGAAAGTGAAAAATGCGGTGGGAGAAGAGAGAGAGAGAGAGAGAAAGGTTGATGCTTTATGGGAAAGGAAAAAAGTTAAAGGAAAAATCTGTAAACGAAAGAAAAAAAAAAAGAGTAGCTATAGGAAACATATGGAGTCAGAATAGAACGGGATTCCTGCGCTTTTGTATCTTTTATTTTTGATTGATATAACTTTTTATTAAAAATTTTAAGCTTTTGAGTGATCAATTTGGGTAGAATTAGGGTCGTTCATGGTTCGATTTGGGTCGGTTTTTTTCTAAAAAGAAATCAAACCAATTAAGTCGATTTTTCAAATATTACAACCAAACCAAACCAATTAAGTCGGTTTTTTATCGATTCGGCTTTTGTCAGTTTTTTTCAGTTTTTCGGTTTTTTCAGTTATTTATCGGTTTTTTTCTTAAATATGATACATACACCACCAAACGCATATTCCGGCGACTACATTTTCAACGTAACACTATCAAATCAATTGATCTTTGAGAAATCTATCATTTACCAAGATATATTGATGATATTTGAATCAAATAGTGATGAATAATTTAAGTACTCAATTAAAAATCGGTTATCTTTTAACATGAAATAAATTCTTGTACTTAGCAAAAGAAAACTACCAAGCAAACTAGAATGTAAAGGCAAAGAATTAGATGATTATAATAGCAAAGAACTAGACTAAAAATATAAATGACTAATATGTACCATAAAATTTTAGAAACTTTATATAAAAATATACATATATATAGGTGTAATAATAAATTTAAATAGCTACTTTTATAGTCAGTTTGATTCGTTTTTTTTCGGTTATTTTTTTATTAAAACCAAAAAGAAGCCAATAGCCTACAGGCTTGCCAGCGGACTTGCTTGACCTATTGAAATGCCAGTATAGACTTCTGGCACATGGTCGGCTAGCTAAAGGTCAGCTTCGGTTCTAGGCAAAGAAAACCAAACCAATTTTGATCGGTTTTTAAAATTCAAAACCAAAACCAAACCAAACCTAAAAAGTATCGGTTTTTTTGTCGGTTTGGTTCGGTTTTTCGGGTTTTATGAACACCCTAGGTAGAATTTAATCCTTCACTAACAAAATATCTATGAATTTTAATTAAAAGATAAATTATTACATTTCTCTTAACATAAATGATGAGCATTTTAAAAAATTACTAATCGAACATCTGCAAAAGTTGCATAAAATAAAATAAAAGTATTTAGCCTATATTATTATTATTATAACCAGAACCTGGCACCCAACTTAGCTCGATGGATCTAGTGTGATGACATAGAAATGACATTAGATAGCGATTTTAAAGGGTTGTTATTTAGGAATTAGCCAGTGCGTTATGAGTTTTAGTTTTTAAATTTATTTTTTCGGGATAAAAATATCCCGAATTATCCTGAAGTTAAGATTTTTAATTTAAAATTTAAGAACAAAATAATTACCGGCTAATCTCTAAATAGCTTCCCTGAGAATGACTATGTGTGCACTTGCCCTCCGATGGCATGTCTAGTCTGATGACATGATCTAAAAAGCACTTATTCTATTCAAATGAACCTCATTAAATAAAGGAAAAATTTTACATTAGAACAACTGGGATCTCTACCTTTCAATTTCATAGCTCAAATTTCAATTTACAACCAACTAGCCCGCAAATAATAGGCTAAGATTCAACATCCAACTCCAATAGGTTCTCAAAATTACTATTTAATTTTTAAAAAAGATTCCTCAAGCTTTTAAATTAATTTTCGAATCAGTAATTGTAACTCAAATATAGTTCAACAAACCAAATCCATTTGGGTGGTGAAAACTAAATTTTTAACAAGCTTAAATATATGAGTTTAGATTCCGAATTTGATTTTTTGAGAAATTTGGAGTGGATATTATCTAGAATTGTTAGAAATAGTATAAGAAGGTTGTATATAAAATTTGAAGTCATTTAATGGAGATTTGGACTAATTTTGAACAAGAATTGCAACTGAAAATCGTGGAAGAAGTTCGTCTACAGACGCTTGTATAAAGGTGTATAAAAGTGTATAATAGTGTATAATATGTGTTTATACACTCATATACACTATTATACAATATTATACATAATTATACAAAAAACTGACTTCGTCTTCTTCCTTGAGTTTTTTCTGAAATTTAACTCAAATCTTGCTCAAATCTACTCAAAATCACTTCAAATTTAAATTTTGAACTCCTTTTGATATCACCAATTTACAATGAAAACTTCCATATTTGAAAACTCTAGCTTCGTCAGTGGCGGAAAATTAGAGAGGAGAAAAGATAGGATGAAAGATAGATTTAAAAATTATAGAAGATAGAAGATGACTACGGGAGATAGATCTAAAAATATAGAGGATAGAAGATGATGGCCTGTAGAGAATGAAGAGGCACATGGAGAGAGAGCCTTTTGGGCGTGTAAGGAAAAAAAGAACTAGTTTAGTGATTGAAATCTTTCCTTCAAATTCCATACAAACTGGGCCATACCGGGTAAACTTAAAAAATATGGGTCATTTTTTGTTATAGTGTGAAGTCAAGTGTATTTTCTTGTAATTCTTTCTTAAATGAACTAAAATTAACGACCATGATATTTCTCAAAAAATAGAATTCTTGTCTTTGAGTAATTAAAAAAAACAACAAGAATTCTATTTTTTGAGAAATAACATCAATAAACACACTAATATCACCATTTTTTTTAACTATTAAAACTTGTTGGTGCATCATCATTCTAAGATAAGCACCTAACCTTGGCCCCCGACTTGATATTACTCGCTAAACATAGGCTTCAACCCTTGAGAACTCGTAAGGTTTTTTAACTTTGATTCCAGAGTAAATTGTATGATGCTTAGGAGCTTGAAGAATACATGTTATTCAGCTTTTTTTAGAGAAGTAGATAATATTTAACAAAATATTTCGTGTTCCATTTCATTAATGATCATACTCAATGTCATCAACTCAACATAATTATGGCGTAAGATCATTCTAGTTAATTCAAGAATATGAGAGTTCTTTAGGGTTCAAATTTAGAGTATTCATCTGTTTGGTTCTTTGCAAATATTACAAACTACACGATGTAGCGCTACTAAGAAATTTCTAATTTGTTAGTCTTTAGACTCTTGTGTACGATGGACCCTTGTGGTTAGGTCCTTTCCCGGACCCCGTGCATAGCGGGAGCTTAGTGCACCGGGCTAGGGCTGGGCATAATTTGGTAAATACCGAATTACCATACCGAAACCGAAAATTTTAGTATTTGGTATACGGTATTTTGGTATTTGGTATGGTATTTGGTTTAAGTTTAAAAAAAAATTGGTATTAGGTATGGTATTTGGTTTAAAATACCGAAATACCGATACCGTACCGAAATATATATGATATTACACAAAACACATATCATCAATTATAGCATAAATATAAATAATCTAAAATTTTACTTTCCTTTATTCTCACGTTCATCAATTAACTCTAAACAAGTAACAAGACATCTCTAATGATCAAATATTCTTTTATGTACAATTTTCTCTATTTGGGTCGATATTTGCTAGTTTTGGACAAATTTTTTATCAACAAACATTTTCACTTTTGTATTTTTGAGTACTTTAATTAAGAATATTAGAGTGTATGACTCTATGCACTAGTTAGTATTCAAACTGAATAAACCGAAGTTACCGAACCGAATAAACCGAAACCGAAAGGAGAAAAACCGAACCATACCGAATTTAATTAGGTACGGTATTGGTATAGGATTTTAAGAAACCGAATACCGAAAATACCGAACCGAAATGTCTAAATACCATACCGTACCGACCGACGAACACCCCTACACCGGGCTGCCCTTTTTCTAGTCTTGAGACTCTACTCTTGAGATACACTATAATTGGCTTACAACAATAATAACCAACTCAGTATAATCTCATAAGTAGGGTATGAAGAGGGTAATGCGTACGCAAACTTTAACTCTACCTTGAGAAGACAAAAATGTTATCTCTAATAGACCTTCTGCTCAAGAAAAGATGGGGGAGAAAGCAAGTAGCAGCAGGCAATAATGTCAGCAAGGTAGCAAGAAAACATAAGCGAAGAAACAACACATAGTAATATAAATCTAAAAATAAGAAAGTACAGGACTAATACAAATACTACTCGTGTGGACAAGGAAAACACACTATCAACTAACTGTCTACCTTAATTCTTGACATCCATACCCTCCGATCAAGGGTCATAATTGGCTTAATCGTCATAATTATTAGCTTTGGAGACTTAAAATACTCCTTAATATGTGTTTGACAAAAAAGTATTAAGCCTTTTGATTAAACCAATTAATGATGAGAATAGGGGTGAATCTTAGTTAAGAATAATAAAATCTAGACCAAATGTTGGATGAAGTAGACAAGATGAACGGCGTTAGCTATTATGTTTGAGCTGATTAAATGCTCATAAATGCAATAACATAAATATACGATGAATATGAATAAATGTAACCGGCATAATAAAAGGAAGTTACACCCAATTATTGTAAGATTCAGAAAGTTCCTTCCCTTGACAACAACGTGGAAAGAAAGGAAATAAGAGGAGGTTGAGGAATCTTTGGATCTTGTGAATGTAGAAATAAAAGTGTATGCTCAAGTAATGTAATCAATGAATGAGACAACTTTAGTATATCCTTTCAGGACAACCTTTTACACAGTGTTCCTTCTCATAAAAAGTGAAGATCCCCCTTTTGTTCTCTATCTCTTCCTATTTATAAGGGACATTTCCCAAAAGCCCTAAAAAGTACAAAGCAAGGAATATTCCTTGTGTATATATTTGAACCTATGCTACCGTTATTTCCTCATCCCAGCTGCCCGTCTTTGGCATCAACCGTCTTGAGAGCGACCTTCAGTTTTTATACCATGGTCGACCCCGTCCTTTGTCCTGCTTATCCGTTGCTACCGAGTCGCCAAATTTAGACCTATACAGTTAGTCCCTCCGCTTGTTGAGGTCGTGGTCCTGCACGCCCTCAATAAGAGGACCTGATTTGCCTTTGTTTAAGAGGAATTTGGTTGTTGGATAAGCGGGGTTGACCAAGATAGAGAGAACGG